CTACTATTTGGTGTTAATGTTTCCAGTAAGTGTTAAGTTTCACTCATAAGTGCACTCAATGAATAGAATCAAGTGGTTATTTTCAAAAGAGTGATGTTGGCTAACAACTTTCAAAAGTGTTCACCTCCTTGCAGTGGCAGTGGGATCTTTCTCGTGATCAAAACTGCAACGGAGTGGAGAAAGGTGGTCTATTTGTGCAGGGTCACCTAAGCTGAAGAAGAATTTAATACTTCTTTAGAAAATTCAGCTAAGAGCTGTAAACTATGACCCAATTGAGCTCGGCTACCCACTCGTGGTTGCTTGCATCAGCTGCACCACTTGCGTTCCGTTGATCGTCACACCTACCTACGCATTAATGAATATGTCTTAGTAAACACAGAAGGCAAATGTCAGATTGGTTCAGCAGAAGCAGAAAGTACGTCCCATGGGTCCACATGCGTTTCAGAAAAGCAAGCAGTTGCTTTTGCTTTGCAATTAGCTCCCTATCCGCCATCTTGGAATGAGCTTGATTGCTTCGCGACGAACCGACATGAGATCCCTCTAGAAGGAAGATCCGTAGTTACTATCTGGCGAAAAATAGTTGAATAGCCGAACAAGAGGCAGTATAGGCGCTGATAAGCATTCTGGATTAATTCCAAGAATCCAAAAATGAACCGTAGGGAGGAATGCCTCATTATCACGCGCGATATTGGACAGTATATAAATCTGTTATTCTGATGGGAGGAGCACATTAGGCTTCCATGTGAATTCTGTGCGGTCGGTCTTCACACGACGTACTTAGTGGAAGACTCATAGAAAGCGGTGAGTGTGCACAGCTGTGTTAAATGTGATTGAAATCTTGGTTTAGCGTTTTCTCTGTTTGGTTATGGAGGTGTTTGGCCGAATATATTGCTGTCAACTTGACCTTTCCATGCTCTGAGGAAGGCGAAATCCTCCGAAACGTCAACTTGTACGTAAATAAAGAAATAAAATAGCACCTCGTGTTTGCTGAACAGAAGTAGAAAGAATTATTCAATCAATGCCGAGGTTAATAGAAAGTCGAAAAAATAGTTGAATTCGTCACGTGCACTGTGTGATTATGTTCGTTTTCTCAAGCCAGATCACTAAGAAATTGTGACGTTCGACAGACAGAAATTCGGTCTGTAGTCGCTGATTAACCAAACAGCAGATGTTTTAGTGTTTAGGATACAAGGCGTGTTCTTTATTTAGGTTAAGATACCATGCCAGATGAAGACAACTATGATATTTTCAGATAACTACAATATGCAATGTCGCTGGAATGTTCATACCAAGAGCGGCGTTATTTTTATATGCAGTTGCTCTGGTGTAAGGCTACTTATTTTTATTCGTGTTGAAATATAGCAATAATAAATAATTAAAGTTACTAATTTTGTTTACAGGTATTTTATGTTCTGTCTGTTTGTCGTCGTATCATTGTTATTCAATATTTTCGGAAGTAGAAAGGAAATGTCTGATTTTCTACTTGACAGGTCATTTTTTGGGCTTTCCCTTATCACTGTCAGTGGATAGTGATATTTTCGTATCAGTAAAATCCGGCATAAATTAATTGGTTTTTGGTGACTGATAAAAAGATAAAACTTTCGGCGTTGATCAATCCCTCAAGGGATACCCCATGCATTCCACTTCAGTACGCATCGTTTGGAGGTGATTGAATGCATATCTGGCGTTTACAATGAGGCGCGGTGGCCTACCGATGTATCGAACCAGTGCTGTTACCCTCCCAAATAAGTCTGGTACCAATTCGCCGACCCCGGAGGGATGGGAGACTTGGACCATGGGCGCCGGGACCGATTCCATGTGTGTGTTGCAGGGCGTCTCCGATAATTGTGCCACACGCGCCCTATGCGCGTGACTGATGAGATGTCATAATTACCTTGAATACATAAGTTAACATGAAAGTGTAAAAAATCCAGGAATCTTTTTGAAAAATACGAGGAAAAAATACACCAAAATGACTCGATTGCTATTATTCGTCATTGAACTCTGACCATGAGACCTTTTTTCAGAAATATTCGTATTTCGTTCCGAGTCACCCCACTGTGTTGTCTAAAAATGTTGCCAGAGGTTTCGAGTACTGAGTAAGTGAACAATGTTTCAACGTTGATGGCTTTTTTCATTCCAAATATTACTTTGAAAATCTTAAGAAGATGCTCTTAAAAATTCTGAGAGACTTACAATGAAATTTGAATTTTTCATACTTATGTGTGGTATGTGTACTTATGTGTGGAGGCGCATGTGGCGCAGTGGTTGGTGGCGCTCTGCAATACACATGAAGTCGATCCGGCACTGCAGGCCCACCAAGCACTCCAACCCTCCGAGATTGGCAAACTGGTAGCTGACTTGTATGGGAGGATAGCAGCACTGGCTCAATACAACGGTAGGCTACCGCGAGTTATTGTAAAGGCCAGATATGCATTCAGTCACCTCCAGTGATACTTAATGAAGTCGAATGCATGGCGTAGCCCTCAGGAATTGATCAACGTGGAGAGCTTTATCATTTTTTCATGTGGCGTAGTACAACTATAATGGAACTGAGGTATTTGCAAAACCTCGGACCGCAGCTCTCTGCGATGGGGAAACTACAGATGGCAAAACTGTCTGAGAGACAGGTCAAACGAAGAACCTGCATGCTGTGGTAGTGAGTGTGTTAACCCCCGGAAAGTGTAACAGCGCATTCAATCCCCACCGTAGGCACTTGCGGTCCGGAGTTTTGCAAACATCTCAGCATCATTGTGGTTGAAACACACACAATACGCTGTCGTGTGAAAAAATGTTAAAGGCAGTAAATAAAAAGTTAACATTGCGATTTTCACACTTATTTTATATGTTCAGACGAAACCTCCGTCGAGTTGAGTGGCTTGTGTTCCAAACGCCAATACTTCGTACGACTTTTGAATTGACCGGTGTTGTTGTTTTTATGGAACTTGGTCATCGGCATAACTTGTAAGTGTGAATGAATTCGAAGACGGTGACGTCGATTCGAATGAATAGAAATGGCTTTTTTGTTTAACAGAGAATATTATTCAGATATATTTAGGCAAGAAGAAAGTTCTGCGGCTTTTGTGACTAAACATTTTCACATATCTCTGTGAATTTGATTGTATCAAGACAGTATTCATTGCCCCGAAGATATAAGAGATTGGCATGCCAATGTTAATATGTAAACCTTCCCATGCGAATAAGTCATTCTGTCGTATTGAAATCACCAAAATGATAGGAAAAGGAGGAAAACTATCCAAAAACTACAAATTGCAACTATTTGCAATTTGCATAAGGTTGTCTTAGTAACGGTGAAGACCATGTCAACAAATAACTATGTGATTTCTTCAAAGGTTTCGTTCGTGTTATAAGTTTTTCCAGGTGGTTTATGTTTTCACAGTTATTCGGCTTAATATCGATGTGTGTGGCTATCTATGGATGTTATGTGATTGTGCCGCTCGGGAAGGTAATATAACGATCTTATATTAAGGCAGAAAGAGATAAACCATTCGTTGATCAATCCCGCAGGAAAGCTACATGCATTCGAGTTCATTAAGCATTGTCGAGGTGAATGAATACATATCTGGAATATACAGTAACTTCTGGTAATATACAGATATATCAAGTTAGTGTTTTTCACCTCCCAGAGAAGTATTCTGCCAACATGCCTACTGCGGAAGTGTGGAGGGCGTTTGATCATTTGGGATCGAAGCAATGACCATGTGTGTATTGCAGCGCACTCTTAACCACTCTGCGAGCCTCTCCAATACAAGTATTCTACCGATTAATTGAACTCTGTTACCATGGAGATGTAGGGCTTCGGTTTTCTAGGACATAGGGTTTAAACAACGGTCTTATGAACAACGGAGGACATCTTACTTGATTTTCTAGTACCTACTCAGGCTAACGGAAAACCGGTTATGGAAATTACAAGGACCCTCATGTGCTTCGGCACTAGTTCGCTTAAAGATTCGCGCCTTCGTGATGAGGCTTCTTCCAACACATCTTCGACTACTAGAATTGGGTTTTTCTTATATACGTTTTCAGACGAAACTGTAAAACATTTTTGAGCATTTTAAAAGCGTGATATCACCTCGCCTGTACTTGTAGTTCCGTTGATCGTCGAGTGACTCGGGTGGGCGCCAGTAAATCTTCTATTTTTCCCTGTCCCGTGCAAAAGTAGCCCAGTGGGTTCTGCTCGCTCTAGGGATTCGTCGAGCATCATATCTTTCCTCTACGCTCTTCGTGAAGGACTCTGACCATCGGGTCGGTGGTCTTTCTGCACTACGTTCGACATACAAAGAAATCCAGTCACTAACGGCTCTTGTCCATCGGTTATCATTCGTATGCATTATGTGTCGGGCCCACAGTAAAGCGTGATGAACATGAATTATCGATATTTCATTTTGTATATTTTTACATATATGGGTGCTGCAAAACACAAAGAAAAAGGAAGAAAGAAGAAGAGAAAGGAAAGAAAGTAGAATTCAAAGAAGAGAAGATATAGAAAGTAATAAATGGAAACTAGATCACACATTGAATACCGACTCTTACTAAGCTTCGGCATTCGTAATCAGCGTTTTTCATTATTACGTGACTTCACATCACAAGTATCACACTGTGTGGATCTTGCTCTCGGTTCGGATCCTCGTACTCATAATTCACGACGGTCTTCGAGTTTTTGGTGTGTAGGCTCGGAGGGTGCATAAGAGTTTCTACATCTTACAACGACAAACCAACGTGAATCACTGAATGGCCCAAGTGTTCTTTTAGTCACCTCTACGATGCTAAATGTAAAGTCGAATGCGTAGTACATCATTAATCACCATGTTCAAGATTGATCACGGTGTATGCTTTACTGATGGTACATTCTTTGTGGTCTTAGCCGAACGAAAGCTATCGGGGTGTTTTCTTACTATACCATTAAATTTGTGTGCTTCGCCAGACAAATAATTTCCACCATCTGTTTTAGCGATAACCGTTTCAAACATCCATATTTCATGACTTTTCAGTCTAAAATCACACCGTATCGTTTTCAAACCTTGTTCACAATCGTGGACGTCGCTCAATGTCTCTACACAATTCAGAAATTTTGCTTTGATTTCGCTGCAGTGTTCGAGATCATCTCACCGGATCGTCTTCTAACCGCCGGTGCTAAGGCACAATGTGAGTTCATCTACGTCGTTCCAAGGAAATTGAATGTTTAGTCTAAATTTAAGCACCGGTTCTTATAGATATCGCTCTTGAATTGAGCAGATTTGTACAGTACATCCATTTTTCTTTATCAGCTTTGTTATTAAACTATAGGTGATATCAACTGGTGTTGTATTGACTATTAAGTACTCACCAGCTAGCATGCAGTTTGCACCCGATTTGTAAGCTTCTTCTTGAAAGAATTATTGAGAAACGGCGAAATATTGATCGAACAGAAAAGCATAACTTAGTCCGAGTTCCTGATCTTTTCTACGCATTCTGAATTTCTTCAGTTTGGGCGTCATTCATGCTCACATGGGAGATGATGACATTATCTGCTATTGCCACGTATACTCTACGCCCATCTCGTTCGATATTCTTCGACAAATATCCGATTGTGGATTCAGCATCGCTGAATGCAGGTGAGTATGTCGAAATATAAAGGTCAAATGAGAAGCAAAGATTGATTGCTTTCATTGCTTCTTTACCACTAGTTTCATCCAACGGGAGCTAATTTTAACGAATGTATTCGGAAAACGTTACCTGTAATTCCTTCAGCTGTTGAGAAAGCACCCATAAAAATTCACTATTTCTTCTCACGAACCACAGGGCTGCTTGGTCGGCTCCGCTCACTAGAGACACCTGAAGATCCATATATTACTTTCGAATAGGTCACCTGCAGGAATAGTAACGATTCTGCACTTTGATTTACACTTAGCTGGCCTTGTACGTTCACATTTCAAGGAGAAAACTGTTAAATTTTATGGTTCAGCCTACACTTTACCTGGAATCTGATCCCATAATTCCTCAGAAAAAAATAAAGCTATCCTTGTTGACCTGACAAGAGGTTCTTAAGACGTGTTTTTGTTTTCCGATTTTTCTTTGCTGGAATTTAAAAAAGTTTGTTGAAAACTTGTTTATTATCACGGCGCTGAGATATTTGCAAAACTTGGATCCCAGGCCAGATCGAACCACGACTTCCTTTTCCGGGGGCTCACGTGCTACACATGGCACCTCTGAGGTGCTCGTTTTGCCTTTCACTCAGCCAATTTTCTACCTAACACTGCCATTAGCAATTACCTGTCAACGGGATTGATCTAGGGAGCAGAAATCGGCATGAAACCAACTTAAGCTGAGGCTGTAGTTCAAATCGCATTAACTTAACTTTTCATTTACTGCTTACTGGTAGATTGCTGATGGCAGTATTAGGTAGAAAATTGACTGAGAGAAATGCGAAATGATGACCTCAGAGGTGCCGTGTGTAACATGTGATCCTCCGGAAAAGGTAATCGAGGTTCGATTTGTGCTGAGGTCCAAGTTTTGCAAATATCTCAGCATCATAGTGGCTGTATGTCTCATCATGCTCAACCATGAAAAATGACAATAGGCACTAAATGAAAAGTCAACTTGTTTATTAATTTAATAGATGTCTTATCATAATACTGAGCATCAAAATGGTGAACTGTTAATGGATGAAAACTGTTGTGAAGAAGACGAAATAAGTGTCAATTTATTTAAGGACAGTTCATGGGATAATATGATTAAAAACCAATACATATGCGGAATTTGGTGGTTAACTCTTCTAACTCTTGTTGAATATAGAGAAAAATTGCATGTATTGTAGATGACGAAGGCAAACGCAACTTCCTCAGCGGTATTACGATCTCATATATACTTATTGACAGTTATCAGTTCAATAATTTGTTGTAATATAGTAATTTTATGTATGCGTGCGGCGCAATTGTTGGAGACGCTCTGCAATACACATGGGACCGATCCCCCCGTCCCTGGGTACACCAAGCTTTCCATCCGTCCGGGGTCGGCAAATTGGTACCAGACTCGTCTGGGAAGATAGCAGGACTGTCTTGATGCATCGGTAAGTTACCACGAGAGATTGTAAAGGACAGATATGCATTCAGTCACTTCCAACGATGCTGAGTGAAGTCGAATGCACGGCACATGCCCCAGTGATTGATGAACGCCGACAGCTTTATCCTTTATTCTTTATGGGAGTCTTTGCGCTCCATCCTCACCAATTAATAAACTGAAGTTTCTCGACGGTTCCAAAAGTTGTCAAATTCCGATTTATCCGTCTAAGTATTTTGTGAGTTCATTGAAGAGACATTAATGACACTCTAATAGTGAGACATTTTCGTGGTTTTCACTGTTCGAAAGTATTTAGGGAAAGAGTGTGACAGAATTTCAAGAGTTTTCTCACATATACTGTAGATTAATGTAACAGAATCTAATTATTGCTCTTCGTTTATTTTATATCGTAAGGAAATAACTGGTACTATTCAAAATGCTGGTACTGAATGTAAACAGCTTTTAGCTAGCAACCAGACAGTGAGCAGCTTCATGATGCCATCAATTAGAGTGGAACCACGACAGCAAGTCGTTTTCGATGCGATCGATAGTGAAAACATTCGAGTGCATAACAACAATAATAACACGAAAATTGTATAAGCACATTGGGAAATGTAAGTTTTTACAACTAAGATAAGCCATGTTTGAGCCTTCTTGGGTAGCCTTTCACCTGCGCCACCGAAAGATCCTTTTGTTGGCTGGAGTGACTCTATCTGGTACCAACAACGAATACATTTATTCCTGTTACGGGACAGCATTTCACAGGGGATTCTCCTAACCTAATCTCTTGAAGATGTGCCATATTTTTTCCATGACTCTCGAGACCTTCTGGATTAATTCCAAGGATCCGAAAATGAACCGCAGAGAGTAATAGCTCATTATCATGCGTGATATTGAACAGTAAATAAGCCTTTTATTATGATGGCATAACACATTACGATTCCATGTGAATTCTGTGCGGTTGGTCTCCACGCGACGTATTCAGTGGGAGCCTCATAGAAAGCGGTGAGTGTGCAAAGACTCTGTGTTCAACGTGATTGAAATCTTGGTTCAGCATTTTCTCTGTTTGGTTATGGTGTTTGGCCGTGTAGATTGCAGTCAACTTGATCTTTCCAGGCTCTAAGGAAGGCTAAATCCGTCGAAACGTTAGCTTATACGTAAATAAAGAAATAATAACACCCCGTGTTTGCTAAGCAAGAATATAAAGAATTGTTCGACTAATGCCGGGGTTAATAGAAAGTCGGTCACGGGAATTTTTTCCACGATTTTGGTGCAGAGAATTCCGACGACGCTACAGTGTCGGGGGTTCTTTTGAAGCCAGTAGAACGGTAAATGTTTGCTGTTTCTGGCAGAAGAAGAAAAACCGATAGCTTTTCGAGCTCTGCCATGTCACATATTTTCTAGGATTTTCTCAAATCACTCTGGTTACCTGCTATCGCCGTGAGGCGCTTTTAGGATGAAGGATTATCAGACGTATTATTTTTGCTGTTTTTGGTAATAAAGGTCTTCTGGAAGCATACACTGTAGTGAAGCTTGCGTTTTCCATGACTACCTTTTAGGGTTTTCCCAGAGTGGACATAAAGCTTATTTATTGGATGTAACCTCGAGTAATCTCCCAAGTACTTCATAGTCTTTTGATTTCAGGATTTTGCCCAGAGTGACGTGCAAGATGCAGTCCACAAATGCGCAAGTAGTAGTTATACTGTATTTTAAACAATTGTACTGGTTCGCATAAATGTTCTTAGACCTTGACCGTATAGGCTTACTTGAAACATTTTTTTTCATTTTTCTTATTCTATGAAAGAGTCACAATACTTTTGCTTAAAGTAGCATGATTTACACGGTAGAATGAAGTAGCAAACGATTAGAAGACCAACTTCGAAACACCTCTGGTGAGACCTGAAGGTGTGTAATAAAGAAATGGAGTGATTTAATTGGATGATTAAATGAATGAATAACCATCAGAGGAAAACAAAAAGATGAGCAGTTGATGGACAGGTCGGAAATGAGCATGTACACAAAGGAATGTCAGTCTATAGCCAGAGTTACTACGTACAGTTTTGTACTTCCTAGGACATCTGGACTATTCACAGTAAGCTGAAATTCTAGTGATTCAACTCTCGACAGCTTGTCAGCTAGGTATGCTTCCATCTCTTATAACTTGTCTTGAATGGAAAGCTGTACTCCGCATGGAAAAGTAATGGAAGCGGCATATGACATTGTCCTCGAGTGATCGGTCGACAAGTCGTGGATTTCACTGGTACCTTGAGAGTTCCTACTGTTTTAGAAAGATTGGAATTGGATGGCGGCAAAAATTCTTCCGATTTATAGAGAGTACAAGCCTGCGTTGAAGACGTTGGAAACTCTTTTCTCACAATTCTAATGAAAATCACTATCAAACAGTCAGCATTTCAAATATGGTGAATGAGGAACAGATCAGCAGGTCACTGCCAAACTCACGTACAAGTTTGAGGTCCTATATGGATTAAGTTTGCAAAAGAATGAAAAGGACAAAAAGCTCAGCTAAAAATTTACAAGAACTTCGTAGAACTCTTTCAATAAGACAAGACATTGATTATCCATGCCGAGGTTTAATGAAAGTGGGTATTGAGATTAATTTATCTTAGCTATCACCTGTATCACCTATAGACCCGTTGATCGTCGAGTGATTTAAGCGGGTGCCTGTAATTCTTCCATTTTTCCATGTCTCGTGCAAGAGTAGCCCAGTGGGTTCTACTCGCTGTAGGGACTGGTTGAGCATCATATCTTTCTTCTAAGCTCTTCGTGAAGAACTCTGACTATCGGGACGGTGGTCTTTCTGTAGTGCGTTTGATATCCCGAGGAATCCAGTCACTAACGGATCTTGTCCATCGGTTGTCATTCATACGCATTACATGTCCGGCCCACCTTATCTTAGACTGCCTGTTGTATAGAAAGGCATCTTGAATCTTCTTTCGTTGTCGCTGGTGCGAGCTAAGGATTTCCTTCCTTATTTGTATGAAACGGGATTCTCCAAGTATCGTCCTTTCGACTGCGTGTTCAATAACGCTGAGTGATTTTTCATCCTGTTTATGCAGCGATCAGGTTTCTGACTCATACGTTAAGGCACGAATTGCCGTTGAGCCGAAAATGTGGGCACGGAGTAGGGTGTTCTTTGCTCTCTTCACTACATTCTCAATGCTCATGAAAACTCCCAAAGCCCGAACAATCGGAGATATTCGTTTTGTTGAGCGTGAATGAGATATGCGAAACCAATCCGCTACTAATGAACGTCGCTTTTGAGAGATTTTAGATTTATAAGGACGATCAAAGCGAAGATAGTGTAATTTCCGACCATCGATTTTCACTCCCATATTATCCCATTCTAATGTTCACATGACGTTCTACGGGGTGGCAGTAAATAATTTTGGAGAGATGGTATCGCCTTGCCTGACCCCTCTTTTGACGTCAATGTTAATATCGTTGTAGAATGGTGATATCTTTGTTGAGGAATTTTTGTACAGCTCACGAAGTATCTTTGTGCATCGAGTAGGGACTCGCTGACTGTCAAGGGCTTCCATGACTGCATCTAAATTGAGTCAAAGGTCTTTTTTAAATCGATTAAAGTGAGACAGAGCAGTCTTTTATATCTCACTCGCGGTATTTCAGTGAGGCTTGCTATCGTGTGGATGTGGTCCATCGTACTAAACCCGTTTCGAAACCCAGCTTGCTCACATGGCTGCCATTCGTCCAGTGTTCTGTCAATCCTCTTTAGGATATCTCGAGTGAAAAGTTTGTAGACGACAGACAGTATGCAGATTGGGCA